ACTCAGTAGGTGCTTTAGATCGCTGAGCTAGCTTGCTGGCCCAATAGATGGGCTTTGCGTCAATCAGGTAAAAGCCATGCATGACAGACCAACAGCCAACATCTTCTAAGTGGTCAAAAACTGAAACTTTTCACTCTAAAAGCAGGAACAAGACAAAGATGTCCACTGTCATCATTCATTAAAATATAGTTCTGGAAACACTAACTAGTGCAATTAGGTAAAAAAGAAGTAAGAGGAATGAAGATAGGAAAGGAAGAAGTGAAATTATCATTATTTGCAGATGGCATGATAGAAGTCCTAAAGAATTCTAGATTTAATAACTGAATTCAGAAGTATAGCCGGATACAAAGTCAGCACTCAAAACTGCAAACATACATCACAGATATTCAGCAAACATTCCTAAAATTCAGTTGGAATTAGAAGAGACCTTGTATAGTAAAAACAATTCTGAGCAACAAAGGCAAGACAGAAGGCATCACAATCATTGACTTGAAATTGTACTACAAAACTACTCTGATAAAATGAGCATGGGGCTGGAAAAAACAGACCTAAGATCAATGGAGCAGGGTAGAAAATGCAGAAACAACTCCAAACACACTGATTCACCTTATCTTTGACAAAAGTGCCAAATAAATTTATTGGAAGAAAGATGGTCTCTTTCATAAATAATGCTAAAAACCCTGGCTTTTCACATACCACTGACTGTATCTAGTCTCTCACTATGCACTAAACTTTTAAAAAAGTGTCAAAATCTAAAAAAAGAAACACTGAATCTGATAGGAGAGAATAGGTAGAACTCTTGGAGACATAAATGCAGAGAAAGGATTGAAGAATAAAACCTCAGTTGCATGAGAAATACTAGAAGGATCAACAACCGTGACCTCATCTGATTGAAAAGCTTTTCGTGCACAGCAAAAGAAGTCACCAGCAGAGCGGAAAGAGAACCCATAGTGTATAAAACAATTTTATCCAGTGTCTCAGACAAAGGACAAATATATAGAATATATAAACAATTGAAAAAAATCAGACTCCCCCAATGTAATGACCCAATCTAAAAACAGGCATCTGAGATGAATACACACTTTGAAATGACCAACAAATATATGAAAAATGGTTCATCACTTTTCATTGGAGAGATGAAAATTAAAACAATACCAAAATTTTGCCTTAGTCCATATGCTGGCTGGGCTGTGGAGAAAAAGGCCCCATTCTCCACTGTTGGTGAGTGTGTAGAGTGGTACAACCACTGTGGAAATCAGTGTGAAGAGTCCTAAAAAAACTAGAAGTAGAGCTCCCATTGAACCTAGCTATTCTTGATATCTTCCTGGAAGAATTAAAAACATACCTCAGTAATATTTGTGTGTGTGTGTGTGTGTGTGTGTGTGTGTGTGTGTGTTTCCAAGCTAAATCTTGGAAACAACCCAATGCCCATCAATTGAGGAATGGATAAAATATGTGATTTTTAATTTTTTAAATTTATACAATATAGTATTAACAAGACATAAAGAGGGATAAGCTTGAGGCATGTATGTATTAATAGTTATACCTTGAGACCATCTCTTAGGTGAAATAAATTGGACCAACATGTTTAAATATAGCATTGTCTCTGGTGTGAGGAACTGAAAGTATAAATGTGAACAAAAATGTGTAATAGATATTTTGAATAAAAAATTGTTCAGTAATTAAAGAGAAGTAAGGACAGGAGAAAGGAAGGAATGGAAAAGACAACAGGAAGATAAAATGAAAAAGTTTTGTAAAGAATGGGAGGATGGGTTGAAAGGGAAGTGGTATGGGAAAAAAATCAGGATATATCATGTACAGGTAAAAATTCCCTATAATGAATATGATTTTCTAAATCTAAATTGTACAGATAAACTTGGAAAATAAAAGTATGAAAATCATTTTGTACAGCTAGCCAGAATAAGGTACTAGAGAAAGCTAAATAGAATGAGTTCTAAATAAAAAAGCAGAATTTAGTGAAGTAGGAAAAAAAGGAACAGATGTTAAGTGATAAAACCAGATTGTACAATAAATAATGACCGTTTCTGGTAAATGATAACAGAAATTCCAACATGCACAGCCAAATGACCTCAAGAGTAAAACTAGAACATATCAATAGAGTACCAACTTTAAGTGAGTAATATTATGCCAATAAGTATATACAACAATTAATTACAATTTATTCAATAGTCGTACTTGGTAAGATTTTTGTTACATAGCCCAGAAAGAGGATTTTCCCTGAGCCAATGAATGGGTGCTTCCACAAGGAAGCAAGCACTATGGTGAATCCAGAGGCATTCCTGTTATAGCTGGACACCAAGAAGGTTGGTGTGATGAATGCTGGTTTCAATATTGAGCAAAAGAAGGAAAAAGAAGTGATTAGAAAATTGATGTAAGGCTGGGGAGATAGCTCAGTGGTCTAAGCGCCTGCCTGGCAAGCTCAGAGACCTGGGTTCAATCTCCAGCATTGCATACTGTGCTGACCCTGTCCTGGGTGTACTGAGCTGGCCACTGAAACCAGGTGTGGTGGCGCATGCCCATAATCCCAACAATGGGGAGGCTGAAACAGGAGGATCATCATGAGTCTGAGCTGTGTAGTGAGACCCTGTACCAAATACATAAAAATGAAAAAAAATGTAATAGTTGGAAAAAAGACACATGATATTTAAAATTCTGTTGTCCAAAGTTGTTGACTTAAGCCTTTCATAGCTCAGCATATTAATATAGCTTTACTTTTTATACCTCATGGTTATACTTTTCTGCTGGATGGTTAAGACCAAGTTAAAGCATAACCTATATAACTCAAAATGTAACTTTTGCTATCTGACAAGGTCAGTCAAATTTCCTCAGGATTTATCCTGGAACCACGTATAGCACCTCGTGGATTTTTTGTCAGTGTCAGCCATCTGGATGAATCATGGCCATTGCTTGACCAATTTGCTCTCTTGTAAAAGCCTGAGAGAATTTTTTTCTCTCTAGGTGATTCTCCTTAGGCACAGTATACATTGTCAATTATTTTCCTCTGTGGCCCCATAATCTCCTTGATCAGAAAATTTGTGACACCACTTAGTTAGAGGATGTCTCAGCAGAGGTTCTCTTGTGTCCTGCGTCCTCCCTGAGCTTGAAAGGCTAGGGCCAAAATATTGGCTGTCTTGTAAGCCCATTTATCTCTAATTTTTTGCCTGCAAACTTTAGTTGTTAAATATCCAGAAAAGAAGCTTAATGATATTATCCTGTAACAGAAGCAGTTAAGCTTAACATCACTATCTGTCTGAGTAGCATTCTAGGAACATAGTAAAGTGGCTGGATTCAGAAGTCTCTCAGAGACACAACATATAATTTATAATTGTTAAATTTGATAGAAACAAAGATACCGTTAACAGCAGAAGCAACAATAGGGGGCATACATGTAGCCCATTGATAGAGTGCTTGGTTACTGAAGCACTGGGTTCAATATTCACCTTCCAAAACAACATACAGAAAGAAATGGACACACACACACACACACACACACACACACACACACACAGGAATTAACAAAAACATGCAAGACCTTTTTGGAAAAACTTGCATTACATTGCTGAATGGTATGTAAAAATTTGAATAACACATAAATTGCTATGTTAATGTATGGAAGAGTTGATTTTGTATATTAATCTATAGACAATGAAATTTGAATAAAATCCTAGTGTGAATTTTGGTATTTGATTAATTTTAATATTTTGGAGTAAGAATAAATGTCCAACAATATACAAAGCAGTTTAGAAAACAAAAAAATAATATGCTATTCCTCATAATAAGTATGATGAAATTGTAATAACAGAAGCAGTATAATATTAGTTCAGTAAAAGATAGATCACTGGAGTAGAAAACAAAATTTAAAGAGAAACCAAACATAAGGTAAAGTTGGCATTACAAATCAATGGAGAATGAATTCATCAGTAAATAAATCCAGATAGAAAATCAAGATTTCCAAACAAAAAATTAGGTCCCATCTATATCATTTCTAAAATAACTCCCCAAAACAAATGAAGTCATGTACATTAAAGTTTCTTATGGGAAGAGAAAGTTTATAGCCATTAAGAAAATTTTGAGATAGTGTCTTTGTGATACCAAAAGAGTACAAACTTTGAGAGACTAACACATTTTATTACAGGAAATTACGTGTTGGGATAGGTAGAGTGGAGGCCTTCTAAAAGTTAAGAGATAAGTGACAGAACTGGAGGCAATGTTTTCAGACATTTAACACAAATATTAAGGTTTAATAAATGGAATATATATATATATTTCCTGTGTAACTACGACAGAGCTCACTAATAATAAAATGTAAAATAGCATAAGTTACATAAATGTTCATCACATATGATGCAGTCATCCTCCTCAGTGTAAATATCTGAATGAGCTACTTTTCATCTACTCTTTAATGATAACTTTTGCAGTATTATTTGTGAAGCATAAATTGGAAGTGTGGGAGGCCAGACTGACCCACTGGTTCAGGACAGGAAGCATTGAGAATGTATCCATAGGGGAAATGTAGGGAAAATACTGTATATTTGTAAGTTGGAATATTATATAATATCAACAGTTAAAGTGTATAATGTGGATATCTGTATTTTATAAAGATATGTGTTTTGAGAACTCAAGTCACGATACCTTCAGAATGATGCTAGTTGAGTAAAATTGTAATTGCAGAAAATACTATATATTATTCAGTGATAGAGATTATATAAGTATGTAAAAAGATTTTAAAGATTTATAGTACATTTTAAAGTGCTTAGGAGGAGAGTGTAGCTGGTCTAGAGAGGGGACAAAAGGGATTTCAACATTACTGTACCTGGAGGAATATAATAAAATGCTGCCAGTTTGTTACATCCAAGGTGTGGAGATACAAGTTTTAATTTTTTTTGTACTTGTTTTAAAACTTCTTAAAAATATAAAAACAGAAGCAAAGCTTCTAAACCAGATGACACTAGAATTGAAAATAAGCCAAAAGGACCTACCTAGGGAGTTGGCTGATGGTGCTGAAACATATAACACGGGATACATCATTAGAATTTAGAGCCCTAACCTTAGCACATCCACTTCAGCTCTTGTCATCTGTTTCCCAGGAATCCAGGGAGGCATTACTGATCAGGTGGTGAATACTTGGGGACCATTCCACCAGGCATCTCTTTTTCTTTTCTTCTGGAGACAGTCTTGCTGTATATTTCACACTGGTATATTTCAACTAACTGTATAGCCCAGACTGGCCTTGAACTCATAGGAATGCTGCCTGGAACTCAGCACAATCTTGCCTCAGCCTCACAAGTGCTGGGATTACAAATGTGTGCCACCATGCCCAGGGTATCTCTCATCCTTTTAATCTCTAAAAGGTTTTAACTTTTATTAGACCAATTCTATTCCTACAAATAGCACTGTGGCTTACATTTTTCCTCTATTCTCACCCCTTCCTTCCTTTTTATCTCCTCTCATTTCTTTTACCTTTTCTCTCCTTATTTCTTTAAATTTGGAAATTTAACAGACTTTTAAATCTTCATTAGAAGACTTCATTAAGTATTCATATATTCTGATAAGGTTTTTCTTAAAACATTTGTAAAGGAGGAAAATGTTACTAATGGGAACCAAGTATTTATTGAGAAACGAGGATACTTACTGTATTCTCCTCTGGACTCTCCTGAAAACATACACAAGAAGTGAACAAAGAAAAATGAATTTTCATTTCAGTTTTAATTCTGGTATTATTACAGATGATAAATTAACGAACATCCTCAAGTATCAAACAACCGAGAATATGCAGGAAAAAAATCTCCCCAAGGCTTAATTAATGAGTTAAATTATGTAAAAAAACAAGCGAAGGTTAAATGAGGGAAATATGTGTAATAAATAATGTATGGAAGCATTAAAACATAATATATTAATCATAAAAGAGCAAATAAAATGATAAAAATAAATTACTCAGCCAATTGCACATTCAAGTTCAATTGAAAGATGGCCAATTTTAACAACTATTTTTATAATTTAAGTTACTTTTGTAATTAAATATGTGTTCTGTGATTTAAAATGTTTCTCAGTGATGTCAAAGGAGCAGAATTTCTGAAAGATCTGGAGATGGACAAAACAAATCACACAAAAATAAGTCATGCTGTCCGTGTTGTTCTCATGAAAGCCTGAAAATAAATAGTAATTTTGACTCTGTGGTTGATCTAAATGATGTTGCCTGGCAGCATCATTTGATATTTCATTAAATTATAGCTAAAAATCTACCTAGAAACAGTTGTAATAGACTTTTTTCCCCCTTTAGTTTCACTTCTGAAAATGAGTGGTCTTCTTCCATACTTCGTTGCCATTGTGGTGGGAATTAAGTCCAAAACTCATAAAATTCTTTGTTTCATACATTTACTTTTTTTCTCATAATTTTAGGGGAATTTTAAAAACAGAAAATATCTTACATTTTAAGTACTGACTACTTTTATGTGCTGCTTGAAATTTGCTACATATGTTACTGTGAAGTACTTATATTTGTTATAAAATTAAGCATAGGCTTAGTTAAGTTTCAAAAATTTTGAATTATCATAGTAATTTTAATATTTATGTTATTTTAAGATTTAACTAAGCATTAAGTGTTAAATTTCATGTAACTAAGCTAACATAATGGCCTTAGTTAATACTTGCCTGCCAGAATACTTCCACAGTCCCAATTTGACTAGTAAATTTATATTTCTTTGTCTAGCAATGATACAGGGAAGACAAAAGGAGCTTGGGAATTTATTGGACTACTTGGAGCTTAGTGGAATAAGGGTGACTGGTAATTCAGAGAAATAAAGTCATTAGCTTCATAAGTTTTAAATTTTGTCTTATTCAGACAATAGTAAAATGTTTCCTGATTCAAGTTTTATGAATGCATTATTCACCTTCAGAAAAGTACACAAATAAACTGTACAGCTGAATGACCCTTCATAAACTGGACAGTGTGACACTAGCTCAAGAAGGGGTCATCACAGCATCCCAGAGGACCCTGTATTTCCTTCATTATTCACTTCTCTGTCCCAGCACATCAGCTTTTCCTGTCTTAGAGCTTCATGTAGATGGTTGAGTTGCGTAACGTGTTATTTTGTGTCTATCTAGTTTCTTTCAATGTTATGTCTGAGACATTCACTTATTTTTGCAGTGTAATTTTAGCTTATTCAGCTTCACTGTCTATAGTGTCCTCCTGTGGGAATATATCACCGTTTATTTATGTTCTGTACTGTTGACAGACTCTTGAGGTGTTTCCAGTTTGAGCTTATTGTAAATACTGTCACTGTAAACACTCCTGTGTACTTCTTTCTGTGTATGTATTCCTGTTGGATATATAACTAGAAATGGAATTACTGTGTCAAACGTTCTGTGTAGAATTAAATTAGTTTAAATAAATATGTTCTGAAGTTAAAAAAAGTTTTATGAATGCAAAGATTCATAACCAAGAAATGGTAACTAAGATATTACTAAGTTGTATGAAAATGAAATGTAGAGTTAGGCAATTCTGAGTTCACAGTCCAAATTTAGTCACTTGTAGTCCCTGTGGGCTCAGGCAGATCTTTAACATTTTTCAAGTGTGTGTGTCTGTTTCATAAATTAGTGATAAAAATGTATGATAAATTATTTAAAAATACTGATTAAGGATCTTCCTGATTATGGTGAGGAGGGTAGACTATAAGAATAGGAGCAGAGAAATAAGGAAACCAGCTTTGGAAACAGTTGAAATAGTCCAGGCAAAAAATGCTGGTGTTCAGGCTGAGATTGTTATGGTGGTAAAAAATAATCTGACTTGGAAAATAGTTTGGAAATGTCAGTTAATGGGATTTTCTGGTGGATTGGATGAAGAGAATGACAGAGAAGAGTTAAAAGATGACTACAAGGTAGATGCACTGAGCACTTGCGTGAATACAAATGCCAGTACTTATGTGTACAAGGGGATCAGGAATTGGCTTTTAGACTTAAGATGTCTCACATATTGGTTCCAAAACACTGTGATATGATTATATAAGTTCACAGCACAAAGGATTATGGGAACCAAACTCTGCAGTGTCCCTTGTGGGGCTGTGTGAGCCTGGAGGATGAGACATCTTTCCCTTTTTGCTCTGCATTGTAGGCTAGACGAGGTGTTAGACAACCAGGGAGGGACTTTTGAGTAGGTCCTCTATGTGGGACTGACAGGGTTGTTTATACGTACAAACTAAAATACCTACTGGAGTGACTAACCCAAAATAGGTGCCAAGTACATATTGATTCTTTTTTCTTATTTGTGTCGTTTTATTTTCTTGCCTGTGTGAACCCTTAATTTCCTCACATGGAGGTAGCTTCTTGCACTGTCCAAATGTCCAGATTGAGGAGGTTTGGTTCCTGAGAAGCAAGAGATGTAAATGATAACCTAGATAGTAATGACATTTGTTTATGCCCTTGGAATTTTATTACCCAAGTAATACTGTAATGTGATGAATTTCAGGGATTTATTTCTCAGTATTGTAAGATAAAGCACATCTAGTGGTTAGCACTCTAGGCCTACACTCCAAGATTTTGTGATCCAGTTAGGTGCTGAAATTTCTTCACTGGACCCCTGGATTCCCACAAAGGTCTTCTCATCTACTGATAGTTGTGTAAATCTATCTTTTAGGAGAGAGGACAGTGGAAAGCTTTTGTCTCCCTTACTGATGTCACTCTCAGCACTTGTGCTAACTGATTAAGAAGGGAAATATCTGGTACTTGGTAAGAAGGAAACCTACTAAATAGAGGAAGGAAACCTACTTGCATTTATAATCACTTACCAAAATATTCTTTTTGTCTTGTTAGTTGTTATAATTTGAATGTGGAATGCCTCCCGAAAGCTAATTTGTTGAAAGCGCAATTCCAAGGCAGCAGTGTTCAGAGCAGTCTTGGGGAGGTGATTAGATAATGAGGGCCTTCACCTCCTCTGTGGGTTAATTCATGTATTAATTTATAGCTTAAGGGGTTTTAGAAAAGGGACTGGGTGAGAAAATGAGCGGTTTTTGCTTCTTGGCTGGCACAAGGTGACTGTCTTTCCTCCACCATGAACTTTCACCAAGATACAGAGCCTCTGCATAGGAGTAAAAGCAAGAGGATGAAGCAACCGTGGACGGAAGCTCCCAAAACCACACGCAGAAATAAGTATTTCCTCCTTTTAAAGTTGCTTTTCTCACATACTCTGTCACAGTGATTGAAAGCTGTCTAACTGAAGATTTTCAGCACCTCACATTATGATAGGAAGTATTTCTTTTTATCCTTTAATTTTGCCATGGTCTGTACATATACTTACCTCCATCATCATATGAAAGATCTAGAGATTGAAGGGAAAGAAGTGTCTTAATGTCTCTTAAGCAGACTTGTGTAGTAATTTCTTAACAATTCAGTATCTGATTTATTTACCACTTTCTGTTGAATATGATTTCTGGAATCCTAAGAAATGAAAAAATAATGAGATTCAGCCTTGAAAATTATGTGTATATTGCTGTCTTATCAGATGAAAATCTGCTTACCTCTTCCTCTTTTAGATCTCTTAGAGGATGCACCTTTTGGGAAATAAAAAAGACATTAATTTTATCAATAACTCCTGAAGAAATAAGCTACCAGTATTCTACATTTTGCTACTAAGATTTGTTATGTTTCCATTATATTTCTATTTTTTTGTGTTAATATTTCCATTTTTAGGGGGTTCTCTTTTAGAAAAGAAAGAGCACATATTACACCTTTACTCGTTGTTCATTACAAATGACTCGCAGAAGTAAGAAAGGGAGGAATGGACCATCAATTTAAGTGTGGACGTTGGACCTTTTATTCTTTCCTCCACTTTTTGAGAGCTGTGGTACTTTTGCTTATACTATGGTGTGTGTGTGTGTGTGTGTGTGTGTGTGTGTGCCTGCATGTGCTTGTGTGTGTGCATGTGTGTAATTGTTCCTACAATGTGCAACCTTATCAACCCTGTAGCTTGAGTTTGGTTTGTGGACTAGTATGGGCGACGTTAGTGGGTTCAGGCCAGCATGCGAGGCAGTTCTTGTGGTGCTTTAATGAGGCCTGGAGATAGGAGAGCAAGTGAACAGGGGGTGCATCCACCAGCAGCCCTGGTGAGTAGATTTTGAGAGACAGAGAAACATGTGAGAGTTAGAGATATCTTAGTATATACATAGTAGTATGTACACCCTGCAAAGAAATTACGTGATACCTTGGAGGTTCCTCATAATTAAATTTCAGAAGTTTTTCTTAAGTTAAGCTTTGTTATTCCATATTCATGCCAGAACACATGGCTGCGCTTGGAGGCAGTGTAGAGGTATTAATACATACTGAGATGTAGCATCAAAGGAGCTGTTTGTTATCTTAAGTCAAGGTGGGGTAGTATGTGATACGAATACGAGTACTGAAGTCAGTGTCACAAAATCTGTGTCCTCTTTCTTTAGCTAGGTAAACCTGGGTAACTGTCAAGCTTTTTTGTTTTTTGTCTTTTTGAGACAAGGTTTTAAGGCTGGCCTTGGACCCTCTTTGTAGCCCAGGTTGGCCTCAAACTGGTAGCAGTCCTGCTTCAGCCTTCCAAGTACTAGGATTACAGATGTGCACCACCACACCTGGACGTGTCAACATTTTTGAGCGTCAATTTCTTTCTTTCTTTCTTTTTTTTTTTTTCTTTTATTTTCTTTCCTTTTTTTTTTTTTGAGACAGGATCTTGCTACACAGTTCAGGCTGGTTTTAACTCCCATTAGGGCTCATTTTCAGGGGATGTCTCTTCTAAAGTCATGCTAGAACTTTTTTCCAGGGAAACAACAGGTATCTTAGGCTGATCTTAAACTCAGTAGTCCTTTCGCCTCAGTTTCTAGAGTGCTGAGATTACAGGTATGTGCCACTGTACCTGGCAATTTTTTTTTAAAATTTTATTTATTTATTTATTTATTTATGTGTGTGTGTGTGTGTGTGTGTGTGTGTGGCCAGCTCAGCCCACCAGGGGGCGGGGCTGGCTGGCATGTGGTGCTGGGGGATTGAACCACGGTCCCTGTGCTTTGCTAAGCTTGTTCTAAGTAGGTGCTTTAGACCACTAAGCCATCTCACCAGCCCCTGTACCTGGCAATTTTATCTTCTAAAATAGGAATTACAAGTTTCTTGTCTTCTTGCATTATACTGTATAGCTTCCAAAGTATCCCAAAGTGACTCTTCATGTATATTATTCTATTAATCTTTATAACAACCTGTAAATTATGTGCAGTATTTTATCTTCATTTTAAATCTCTAAGAAATTGTTTCAGGGAGAGTCTTTAACATCTTTTCAAGATGTTAGTAATAAACAGGAGCTCAAAATCTTCTAATGGTCCTAATAAGGAGAAATACTTTCCTTTTCTGAGATAAATGCTCAATTATTTGCATATGCACATGCATAGAGAGGTTGATAAGCAGTTGATTTTAATGCAACAAAGATGTACTGTTTTAACAAATTATATTAAAAGGAAGATGAGCCGTTTTTCTATATAACCCATTCTTTCATTACTTTTGTAGTAGTTCCTAATCTGTTTACCTGTGCCATCTTCATAGTCCAGAAGCCTAGCACCTAGAGAATAAAGGAAAGACAGTTCCATGATTTTTCTTCCATATTATTAAATAAGTGTTATGGTTTAACTATAAAGCATCTCACAAAAAGTCATTTACAGTATTGAGAACTTAACCCAATACAGCAATGTTAACAGGTGGGGCTTAGAGAAGTGATCAGATTATGGGCTCTAACTTCATTAGGTGGGTTAATCGTTGATGAGATCTATAATCTGCTGGCATTCTCGGGAGATGATGGAAACAGGAAGTGAGGCCCTAGTGTGGCCTTGGGGACCATATCTGGTCCCTGGTTCCTCCTCCTCTAGTTCTTTCTGCTTCTTGGTGCCCATGAGGCGAGCAGCCTTCCTCAGCCACACTCCTCTGCAATGAAGTTTCTGCCTTTTAGGTGACCAGCCTAAAAACAGTGGATTCTGTTGACCATGGTCTTCAGTTTCTGAAACAATGAGATGAATTAAGTCTTTTCTTTTTTGTCATTTTTTTCTCAGATGTTTTATTACATTGATGAAAATGTAACACAGTGGGGCTTTACTTTATGTAAGACTCTAAGAGTTAATGTAAATATTTACTTCTGGAGTTGAAAATAATATGTTAATATATTTGTAGGAACTCAGGTTTGTGCATAAGTAGCAGAGGCAGGTGATGATAGAAAAGTGATTATATCAGTCACCAGCTTTGAAATATTACTGAGGCTAAATGATAATCTGAAGGAGCTTCAAAGTTGCTGTTACTCCAGTGCCTAGCTCTTGTTTTCCTCTTTATTAATTCTGGCCTCTCTTTGTGATCTTTCCAGATCTTACTATGGAAAATCTGCTTTACTTGTTCATATATTCAACTTGGCACTGTACCTCTCACCCATAATCACCTTATTTGCATTCACTTTCATCAGTCCTGATCACTGTTCCGTCCTGCCCCTTTGCTACCGAACTTAGATTTTCTGAACCACCTGCTGCAATGCTCAAGGAGTCTGCTATTTCCAAGGCTTGATGTCTGTTGCTGCTTTCTGAAAGAAGTGTCAGGATCCTTCAGGCCTACTTGCTACTAATTCATTCTGCCCAAAAAATTTGGTTTGCAAGGTTCTAAGAAATCTCTGGTATATTTTTCTTAGTAACTTAGAAGTTCAGTTCATGGAATGATATATTCCCTACCATGTGCTGGAAACACAACACAAATTTTGTTTCTGCCTAATTGTTATGGTTTGTGTGTTTTTGTCCCCCCAAAGCCTCATGCAATCATTGAGGTGCAGTTCTAGAATGTGTGATTAATTCATGATCCAAGGTTGGGATTATGGGTCTGAGTACTGCTGGGATTTTGGGTGTGAGTACTACACCCATCTTGAGGCGAATAGCCTAATGTAACTTAAGGGAAACAGACTTGCTTTCTGTTGTCATTGTTACTCCTCCCTGGTTACTCTTACTGTTCTGCTGTCTTCTGCTGCAATGAACTGCTGTCCTCTGCCATGTGCCAGTCTGCCTTAGAGCCAGCTGAGTATGGACTGAAACGTCCAGTAACTGTGAAGTTACTGGCAAATGCACCTTTCAGTCCTACATTTTGGGTATTGGATATTTGTCCCAGCAACAAGAAAAGAGTAACTGAGATACTTATAAAAATTCATAAATTCTTACTTTCTTTTTCTCGTGGATATAGGTACTTACTTTGTTCTGAACTGTATCTGGAAACATACATTTCTGTGAAAGAATTAGGTAAAATGTTTCTGTTATTAATTGTGAGAACTGTTCTTCCCTGATCCAACTCTCCTCATTTTAAATTATGCTTCTTTTCTCCCCAGGTGACCTTCCGATACAGTGTGCCACTTATGCTCACTTCTTTTCAGCATCTCCAGGAAACCCTGTTGTATCTCTCTTTACACACTGATTACTCACTGAAGGCCCACAGGCTTTTAGTGTGGGAAATAGGGTGATTAGAAGGAAGTGGAAGAGATCCTGAGAAGAATCTGTGGGACTCTGTGGCATAGAAAGGTGTCTACTTCGATAAATCCTCTCTCTCCTATACCGTTAAACACTACACTCGATATTTGTCTCATCACCTCTTTGTATTAAGTCACTGAAAGTCTCCAGTTGTTTCCATATAATAATAGATGCTGATATCTACTAGAATACTGTCTTCTTGATTCTAGTTTACTCAATTTCCTTTTGAATACAGATAATATTGTTTTAAAGTATTTTTATTTCTCTTGATAAGTTATATTTGTGATTTCTTTGTTGACAGTATTATTAACATAAACTTTAGGAATGTGGCAGTGTAAGGAGAATTGCTAAGTCAAAGATTTTTTGACTCACACATTTGGCACATAGTTCTATAATATTATCAAAGTCTCTCACTGACTGGTAAATAGAAGCAGACTCAACACTGGGCATCCTCCCTTTTGTGATTTTGACAAAGATCTCCAATTTGACTCAATACTTACCATTTTGTTTGCGTCGTGTCCATCTTGTTAACAAAATCACGAGAATGGCAAGTCCCAGGAGCGTTAGGATGACAGCCAAAGTTATTTCTGAAAGACAAACTCACCTGTAGGTGGCTTATTTGGACTGTGTTATCAGAGACAACTTTTGGTTAACAGAGTTTTTCTCTTTCTATTTCCTTGGCTCCTTTATTTCTTTATCATTTTGCTATCCCCACATTCCTGTCCCATTTCCAGCTTTTGGTTATATTCTAAGGGCTTCACATGTTGTATACCCTTGGCTTAGAGTGGGAAATCTGAAGGATTTCCTCCCTAGTGGCGCTTCCTATGTCCAGACATGAGAAGATCAGAAGAAATTAGTGGTATGCAAGGTGGTCCTCCAGGGTAGGAGAAAAACTATTAGCACTTCTATTTTTATGTAGTTTTATCTCATAACTATAAAATATCTAATTTTTAAATTTAAAACATACATCTTTGTTTAGTTGTACATTAATAGTACTTATAAATATACATACCTAGGGAATGCATGCTCAAAAGTTTGCATGGTAAGTAATCAAAAAGCTCCAGAGACCTCTGAAAGATGCCGGCTGGAGCTGGTAGGCCACAGGGGAGAGCATGTTTTTCTCATCACAGAGAAAGGTCTTTTGGTAATCACTCACAGAGTGTTTTGTGATAAAATGGCTATCTGTAATGTCAATTTTACTTACATTGGTAAGATGATAAACATACTGGGATAACTCAACCTGTGTTTATGTATCATTGAATTGCATTTGATTGACATAGCATCTTGGATTTATACAAAGGCAAAATCTTAGATAACATGTGCTCTCAAAGAACAGAGGCTTTGAAGATTATTGGAGAAGGAAGGAATGGGGGACAAACCAAGTGTAAATCTGCCTGTGATAGTGCAAATGCTGAAGAATGTCAAACTCTGAAAGGCTTAAGAACATAGATTATACCAAGATTAGAGCTACTTAAGAAAAGCACTAAGTTAGAATTCACCTCAAAATGTAATAATCCATGTGGCATATACATGTAATCCCAGCACTCTGGGAGGCTGAGGAAGGAGAATCACAGGTTTCGAGTCTTGGCCTGTACAGATTAGTGAGACCCTGTGGAGGTGAAGCTCTGAGTGAAGAACCTGGTTAGGTATCTAATCAGGGCAAGTTAGGTACATATCCACTGAGGGTTTTTTTTTTTTTTTTTTTTTTGTGGTACTGGGGATTGAACTCAGGACTTTGTGCTGGTCAGGCAAGCACTTATTCTACTGAGCTATCTCCGTGGCCTGCACTGAGTTTTATAAATGTCTGATCATGGGAAAAGGCCACCTGTCAAATCAACTTTCAGAAATTTGCTCCTAATGTACCTCTGAAAAGACCAATAAGTTGTAACTCTGGCCTTAAGTATGTTTTGACTAATGTGAGATAACTCTTATGGAGGGAAGAGAAAGCTAGGTGGTGAATTCAGATTAAGCCTCCAGTGAGCAGTATTCCCTTTGAATGATGTCAGAATTGTTTTTGATATAAGGGAACTAGAAGATGACCTACCCTATTTATGAGGAAAATAAAAATAAATCATTATTTCTGAATTAAGGCAAATCATAGATTGAAGATAGTACAAGATGGGTCATAATTAAGGAATTTCCTAAGTACATACTATGGAGGATAGTTACTTTGACCACTTCATACTCTAGAAACTAAAGAATAAACAATTACTATTACTGTAGAGTTGACTAGACTATGGGTTGTTTCCTTCTAGGTTCTAGAGTAATCCTCAAGAACAAAATAAGGGGTATAGAATTTCACTAAAAAGAAGGCGAGGAAGGTAAAATTGTGTTTGTGTGCCTACAAGAAGGCTCCTGTGCCAATAGGGTCAAGAATGCTTTGGAGAGCAAGCTGGTCCTTACCCACAACTGCCATTTTCCAGGTATTATCTTCCGTGGGTTCCACGTCATCTGGATTCTTTTGTCAGAGGGAGGCCAACCACTGTTTCTGAGCAGTATGAACGTGGGTGTCAGGGAGGCCCTTGTAAAAGATGCAGGGGGTCTCTGAGGAATTGTATAACTCAGGTTGATCAGACCTAAGCTTACTAAGGGAACACAGTCCACGAAAGTTCTGGAATCTGTGTCACAACAAAACCTTAGAACTTCAGAGAGGCAAGAGGAAAGGAAGAGGAGGACCAACAGACTGGGAAAGTTTAAGCATAATTTGATGAACATAAGATACTGAAGGGGAATTTATTCTATTGGGCTTTAGAATAATTTATAATTTTCTGGAGATTTTGAGGCCAAAGACTGTGTCTCTTTCATTGTTGAGAGCCTTTCACAAAATAGGCATCTTATAAATGTTTGATGACCAAAAATGAGAAAAATTCCTATATTCAAAAATTATTTGGACATGATGTCATGGCTGCATCTTGTATTATGAATAACTACTATGAAGACAACAGTATACAATGTAATAATTATTGTAACTGTCCTACTAACCTGTTTTGAGTCTGTCGTATTGCTATTTGTTTCTCAATAAAATTAGTAAAAAGATTACGTCCTTGAAACAAATGAAAGTGAACCAATAAAGCACAGGCATTGGGATTAGATGACAGGAGGTCAGGTGTCTGTGTTGCTAAAGAATGGGCTAGTAAATGGGATTTCATAAGCCAGTGTGGAGAAGAAAGACACCTTTTACTGAATGTCTAATAGCTACAGAACTCTAATTTGTAAGCACAAACACAGTCTCCACTAGCCTTCATAATGAAATCTTTCAAGATGGAGACATCTGAAGCTGCCCAGCCAACAAATGGAAGTTTCTGACTCCAAGCTTGTACCAAGGCTATAAGGAGAAAAGAAAATTATTTTATTTTTATTTATTTATTTTTAGTGTAAATAGTTTTATTTGTTCAGATGGTGTGAAAAGACCAGAAAAGTAACATGAATTGCTTTTATAAAATCTTTTTCTAATATTAGTAGGAAGCAGGTCCATTAATAGACAAAACAAAAGAACATGCCAACATTACTATCTCTTTGTTCATTAATAAATAGGCAATTATTTTAACATGTTCAGGTAAGCAAATTGAGCTTTGGAAAACAGCTGCATTGAAAACTATAATTTTAAAATTATACTTTTAAGAAAATTACAGCTTTAAGGCATGGAGTTACCCAAGGTTACCATGGCTAGAGCCATTGGGACTGTTCTTCTTCCAGGTTCCTCATTCCAAAGTCCCCAAAAGTCTTGAAGATATAGTAAGTCTATAAATAGGACCTGAGCTATTTTTTCCCTAAAGACTATAAATCCACAAATTCCACGGGCTTCCTCAGAGAACCAACACTGTTGTTGGGTACCATGTCTTTATACTTAGGTTTCTCAGCGGTGCGCCAGACAAACAGCAATAAAAGAAATATTTGCAGGGAGCCTTTATGAATTCTGAAGACATAGAGAGGGCCAATGGCAGGAAAGGGGCTGGAAAAACAAGCTAATAAATGGCACGAAAATAGGGGATCCTCTGGCCCGGGAGAAAAGAAAGCTGAGACTTCTATGGACTTTTTCTTGGGTAGAGGTTTTTTTTTTTTTTTTTTTCTTCCTGAACCGGGGATCGAACTCAGGCCCTTGTGCTTGCCAGGCAAGTGCTTACTCTACTGAGCTCTCTTCCCGGCCTGGGTAGAGTTTGAGGAGCAGTTTGAGTTACGTGCAAGAAGCTTACTGGGGAATCTTGTGTGTGCAAGAAAAGCATCTAGGACTGGGGTGGGGAGGGAGGAAGTGGTCATTAGGAAGATAAGCTGTTGTTTTGGGGATTCAGCCTTGTTAGATGACCACCATAATAATTCAGCAATTTATACTCAGGCTGAAACCCATCATAAACTTAAACATACACAAATGATTTGCATTTTAAACTAGCCTACTAATGACAGACACTAGGAATACACATCATAGATCCTTTGTTTCAGACTGATGCACCCCATCCATGAGTGTCTGTGCTCTTTTCAGAATGTGTACAGTACTTCTCTTGTTCTGCTTAACAGTTCCATGTCTGCTTCTCACTGATGTGTCCAGAAGTACTTTTTCTGTGATAAGAGTCTGTGAACCTCCTCTACTGGGTGGGTAGTGAGTGAGTTGAGGTCCCATAGTCTCCTTAAGGAGGACCTCCTCAGATCTTGTCCAGTGACAATTCATATTTAGCGTCTTTTAAAGGTCTAGGTTGATGGAAAGACTCATTTAAATTTTTGCATATGTAAATTTAAATTAGTACGGTTTCTTTATATATATATATGTATTTGGTACAGGTCTCACTATGCAACCTGAACTTACAGTGATCCCTCTGTTTTCAGCCTTCCCAGTGCTGGAATTACAGGCATGCTCCACCACCTTTGGTGGCTGGTTCAGCGTACCCAGGGGCAGGGCTGGTGAGGCATGTGGTGCCAGGGATTAAACCCAGTTCTTACGCTTGCCTAAGCAGGCATTTGTCCATTAAGCTATCTCGCTGGCTCTCACTCTGTATTTTAATTTCAATTGTTTTTATTTTTTAAAAGACAATAAAGCATAGTAAAAAACATTAAAATCATACAGAAGTTCACTAGACACGATGATAGGAATTCAACAGTGGTTGTTTTTTACATAGTTCTGTCTTCATTTGGAAGGTTTTTGCACATCAAAAGAAATCACCAACAGAGTAAAAAGAAAATTCACTCTATTTTAACTATATTAAAAAGAATCTAAGACACATACTCATTTTAAGTTAAATATAAATTTACATAATCATTAAAACTACTACAAATCCATTGATGAATTATAACAATCAGCTTTTTAATTTTGACTATGTCAGTAGCAGACCATGATCAAATTGTTAGAATTTTTTTAACTCATTAACTTTATTTGAAAATCAAAAATAATTATATAACAAATTAAAAATTGTAGACAAATATTAAAATGTGAAAGATAGAAGATATAGGGCCAGGGAGATGGCTCAGTGGAATAAGCACTTCCCTGGCAAGTGCAAGGGTCTGAGTTCAATCCCCGGTTCTGGA